GCCTTCAGTTTTTAACACATAAGAATTGTACAAATGGACGGAATTCAGTGTGATGTTTCTGCTTGTGGGCATAGTCTACACTGATGAAACCTAATCTCCTTTTATCCACTCTTCCTTTTCTTCACAGACCCCACCATGGTAGCACTTCTAGTTAATGAGTTTAAGAGAAATGATGGGACTTGAATTGAAGCCAAGGGAAGGAAGGAAGTCCAATCAAGGTCCTAGGATGCCTCTAGGGAGAGAGGGAGACACACACACACACACACACACAGAGAGAGAGAGAGGGGGGGGGCTGGTTTTGTGTGTCAACTTGACACAAACTGGAATTATCACAGAGAAAGGAGCCTTCCTTGAGGAAATGCCTCCATGAGATCCAGCTGTAAGACATTTTCTCAATAAGTGATTACGGTGAGGGGAGGGCCCAGCCCATTGTGGGTGATGCCATTCCTGGGCTGGTAGTCCTGGGTTCTATAACAAAGCCAGGAGAAGCAATCCAGTAAGCTGCACCCCTCCATGGTCTTTGCATCAGCTCCTGCCTCCAAGTTCCTGCCCTGTGTGAGTTCCAGTCCTGACTTTCTTTGGTGATGAACAGCAATGTGGAAGTGTAAGCGGAATAAACCCTTTCCTCCCCAACTTGCTTCTTGGTCATGATGTTTTGTGCAGGAATAGAAATCCTGACTAAGACAAGGAGAGAAGGAGAGGGGGGGGGAGGGGATGAGGGAGGAAGAGAGAGAGAGAATCACAAAAGTAGTAGGATTATAAGGATAAGGGTGGGGAGAAAGCCATGAACTGGAGGGAATTTAGGGTAGGGAAGAGATGAGAAGAGTTAGGATGCCATAGGGCACCAGCATGGACTCTGAAATGTGCAGCAGTTACTTGCTTGTGATACTGAGGGAGCCTGGAGGCCAGCATGTGCTTTGGTGTGCTTATAGCCAGCACAGATAGCCATTTGTCCCTTCTGCCAGTGGTAAGGAAAATGACTTCATTTGGTAAAGGGAAACAGGCTTGACAAGTTCCTGAGAAATGCTGACTTTTATCTAACTAACAGAAATCCCCCCAGTCCAAGTTGACCCCATTTCTGGATGTTCAGATTGCCTTTTGGACTTTAGGAAACTGGAGTCTCCTTTGGACCTAAGGGCTTGTGTCTTTGAGCCTCAGGAAGGGGACATTACTGTTAAAGAGACAATTAGAGAAAGAATATTGTAATAACATGGCATCATCAGACATGAGGACAGTTCATCTTGTAGCCAGGCCCACCAGCTATGGGAGTGGGAGTGGAGTCCACTTTCCCAAGACTTGGCTTGCTCATTAGGGAGCCTCCTGGGGCAGTATGTGAAGTTTGGCCTGACCGAGGCCAGAGGAACTGGCTTCTCATTCTCCTTTATTTGTTCATATGTGGATTATCTGAGTGAGGCTTGGGTGTCACTTAAAGTGGTCACGCCCAGGGTCCTTGAGTCCTTTTCTCGGATAAAGTGGAGTTTATTTATCTGAGGGTGGAAAGAAGCTAAGGTCTCCTAAATGCAGGCTCAGGAGCTCACAGAGCCAATAACCAGTGACTGGGCTACAGCCGGCTACATCCATGCCTGTCAAGAACCCCTGAGAGGAAGCCGTGTCTACAAGGCCAATTAAAGCTTCAATGACTGTGGTGCATTTGTAAGTTTGGAGAGTGATTACAATTTCTCTTGGGCTTTCTTACCTCCTTACCCGCTACCCTAAGCGCCGCATCTTGCCCACCTCTGTGTCAGGCCTAACATCCTAATGAATAGATAAACATTTTTGGAGTGTATTAACTTAACAAATAACGGAAGGGCTAAGAATGCTAGCTGAGATTCCCCCATCTTGTGTAACCTTCCCCGATGTTGTCATCTGTTAGCATTTCTTCTAGGTTCCGCCCCACAGTTACCTGACAACAGCCAGGTATGCCTGACTCACTATAAAAGGGACTGTTTGCCCCTCCTCACTCTCATACTCTCCTACTCTCTTCCCGCTCTGTCCCCTCTGTCCCCAATCCCCTCCCCATCTTATTCCACATGCTCATGACCAGCCTCTACTCCTCTCTCTCTCTCTCTCTCTCTCTCTCTCTCTCTCTCTCTCTCTCTCTCTCTCTCTCCCTCTCTTAGCCTTTCTCCGACTCTACTACCCCCCTCATCTCCCCTCCCCATGCCCTAAATAAACTCTATTCTGTAGCTGGTCCCTCAGGGGGAAAGGATGTCTCAGCATGGGCCCCCAGAGGCACTCCCTTCCCCCACACCATACTGCGCCTTCAACAAACATATACCTGGCTTCTTCTTCTTCTTCTTTTTTAAAAATAAATCACAACACCATCGATTTAAACACATGCCTTGATTTACAACTTTCTTTGTTTTGTTACCTTGAAAACTTCAGGGAACACCTTTCACGTAGGGACATTTGGGATTTACCTAAATTGAGTTTCCTGGGGCATAGTCAGACGTGGTTCAGCTCTAGAATAAAGTGCCTCTTCTTTTCTTTCAGCCAAGAGCTTTGTTTTGTCTCAATACACTCTTCTCTGGGCCCTCGCCTTCTGCTTGGAGGTCAGTGCAGGGTGAGACACTCTGCTTTTTAATCTTTTCCTTTGTCTGTGACCTGACTGCTTTTCTGTAAAGGATCACCTCGGTCTACAGTATATTCAGTTCATTTGGCTGAGGAACTTCGTTGATGATACAGAGAGATAACCGGTTGTGTAGTCCATATTAGAATTGAGGATTTTGTCTCCCTCAAGAATACAATCTTAACTTATTGTTTGAGGCTCCATTGCTTTTGGATAAATACAGTGTGTTTTCTATCTATTCCTCTATTCCAGTGTGCAGCTTTTCAAATGGACGGTAACGGAGCTTCCCCCCACCTCCTCCTCTCTTTCTCTGTTTATGTTGTGAGCATCTCAGGTTTGAGTCCAGAAAACCTAATAGCCCAAGCTTCTAACAATCCCGTGGAAGCAGAGGCACGAAGAGAAGTTGTTTCGTGAGCATTTTGTAAAATAACAGTGCAAGGCTGCTACTTGGAGGCCTTCGTCAATTTCTTAGGCAGGGGGTATTGCTTTTGTCCACATTCCCAGGGGCTCAGGTGACCATCAATCTGCAGAACTGCCTCACTCATGCTGTGGAGAGCCTCTCCACACTGGTGTCTTCTAGAACAAGCTGCATTTCTAATATGATTTCCTTCCCACCCCCTTTAAACTTGGTATGATTTGAAATGTTCAAAGTTACAATAAACAAAACCAGAACTAGGCAAACAAACCTCCCAGGGGTGGCTGTCTCCCAGACTGTATTCAATACTATTTGTCATTTTGCCAATTTCTGTAAGGAAATTTTGCTATATTTGTTAGCTGTATACTGTGCCAGGAGTCAGAGGGAAGCTTCCCTCCTATAGATTCCCCTACTGTCTTCGTTTACTGGATAAACAGGGGCAACAGAATAAGGAAGCAGCAGCTGGCAAACGAGATGGTATAGCATCCCTGTTTCCTGTTGGTTTTAGACATCCATCTTTTAACGTGTGCCGTGCTGCTCCTGGGCACCTGCTTGTGCTGGTGTTGTTCACAAGAGAAGCTTGCTAGAGTCTTCCTGTTTTCAGTGACCTCACCCTAGTATCTCGAAACTGTCCATGAGGGAGTATTTTTTGCCATGGAAGTAAGCAAACTCTACAAGTACCCTGAAGTCAAGACAGCTTCACATCCAGCCCAGAGAGCTGGATTTTAGAAGGTGACATCCTTCCAGTGCCTATGGCTGTTAGAGCTCCATGTTTCAAACCTTAGAGGATGTGTTGGATAAAAAGTTGACCTCCGTAATCTTCGCAGGTAATACTCACTTTAAACCTTACAGGGACCCACTGAGGAAGGCTACTTAAATTCCCTCTGACTCTTGAGCAGAAGCCTCAGAGAGGGGAAGAAACTGGTCCCATAGCCAGAAAGTGGCCAGCACTCAACTGGAAACCAAATCCCTAAGCTCTCAATTAAATTTATGATGCCTCTCAAGGATCAGAAGAAAATTTTCTGTCTGTGCTACTTTTTATCACCTCTAATGGGAATCCCTCCTTTAACCAGTATGACAACTCAAATGTATTCAGAAAGTCCTGTCTTCCCAGGCAAGGATGAAGATGTTTGTGTAGACTCCGTCATTGTCGAGCCTTCTGTGTTGATGAGGAACTAGCACCATTCGATATCTGAATTCTCAGAGCAAAGGAGACCATCGTCTCACGTTTGCTCAAGAGGTAAATACCCAAGGAGTTGTCCATCTGCTAAATCAACCACTTGCTCTATCTTAGGGGAAAGTAAGTCTGGGAAGGAGGTAGGGAGGGAAGGAAGTATGGATAGATAGATAGGTAGATAGATAGATAGATAGGTAGATAGATAGATAGGTAGATAGATAGATAGATAGGTAGGTAGATAGGTAGATAGATAGATAGATAGATAGATAGAGAGATAGATAGCTCTCCTTCAGGTGGGAACATTGTATTTGGGATTACCTAAATTGACGTTCCTGGGGTGTAGTCACTCACATTTGATCTCCAGAATAAAGCGTCTCTTATTTTCTTTCAGTTGAGAGCTTCGTTGCAACTCAACATACTCAAGAGAGATTTTCCCCAAGGATCTTGAACTCAGCTAGGGCAAATCAAGTTTATTCTCTATCCTTTTCCTATTTGGAATACAGATAGTTCTTCTGTGGATACTGTGTGCATGGATTCTCCTCAGCAAGGAACAAAATGTGGCGATTGGCCACTGAAATGAGCTGCGGGAAGAGGCATGGAACATGTCTGAATAGAGGCAGAAAAATGTACCAAATGCATCCTGGGGCTGTAGACACTGCAGTGTCAGTGAGGGGACAGCTGAAGTGAAGCAGACACTGTTGACTGCTGGGGTCAGTTCTGCGCTCCACACAGCTTGAGCTCATAGAATGGTCAGACATGAGAAAGAGGGCGTTTTGAATTTCTGAGGAGACACCTTGTACAAATCAGGGGCTCAAATAGTGTGCTAAGGAGCAAATAACTCTGCTCCTAGAGGCTTTGCAGGTGTGGCTGCTGTGTCACATGTGTGTCAGTAGGTGGCAGAGAGGAGAGAGACTATGTCTCAGTGTTCTGACATTTGGACATCTGCATGATCAGTGCCCGAACATTCCCTGAAAGAAATGAGCCTGAGACCACCACCAGTCTGGTGCCAGGCAGATGCAGGCCGGTGCCCAGGATGGGCAGCAAGCTGGAGATTAGAAAAATCCTACCTGGGACAGGTGTGTGTGTGTGTGTGTGTGTGTGTGTATGAGTGTGTGTGTGTGTGGTGGCCCCAGGAGAGGAATCCCAGTGAGATTCCAGTATTGATAGAGTAACAGAAGCCAAAGGCCTTGTAACCAGACCAACAAGTCATTGTAAGAACATTCACAAGCACAGAAGTGTAGACAAAAGAGTCACAGTAGGACACACTACAGCTTCCACAGTGAGATTTTTTTTTTATTTTGTGGGCCATTGTAAGGGTGGAGGGTGGGTACAAGGGGAGAGGAGATTGGGGTGCCTGATGTGAAATTCACAAAGAATTCACAATAAAAAGTAAACAACAACACCACAACAACACAACCAAACAGCTCAGTAAAGACACACCAGTAGCATGTCTGCCTCCATTAAACAAGAAGCATTTTTTTCCCAAGCAGGATCTTCTTAGAGGTCAGACCAGGCCATGGTTACATTCCTTCTCTTAGCTGCAATCCCTCGTGTGTCTGGGCATGCAATGACTTTTTTTTTTACTGTCTACTAAAAGCAAATATGCTTGAATGTTACATGTTTATGAATTTCATAGTTAAGAAGCACTCCCCTAGGTTTTTCTGCTAAGTCTATACCTTCCATCTATTGACAGTTGGTACAATGGTACTTCTTATTTGCTCACTCAGAAAACTATTACAGGAAACAAAACACAGATGGGGCTGGCTTCACAGGGAGATGACCAATTTTTTACTTACTGCTGTTCCTGAGTTGTCTTATATGTAGTACGCAGTACGCCATAAAATCATGGAGTGGTTGTGTTACATACTAAAGAACATGTATGTTAAGAGCAACCTGCTTCAGAAATTCTATTTTTTTATGATCATATATTTTGGTCTTGAATAGGTTGTAAAGCTTTAAAATAATCTATAGCTCTGAGGGGCTTGGCTGGAAATAGCAACCGTCTCTTTTGTGTGGTACGAAATATAAAAAAGATTCTTTTTAACTTCTGTAGAAGAGGTGTTCCTGACACATCTCAGATAAACCTAAGTATGCGCTCTCCATCACGGGTCTCAGAAAGGTGCTAAAGGAAACTCCTCGGCAACAAATCTTAGAATATTTCTTATTTTTCTGTGCTTTGACCACAAACATGACAATGCGTTTTAGTCCCTTTACACACAGTACTCGGCACCACCATGCACCACCATGTACCAGCATGTACCACCATGCACCACCATGTACCAGCATGCACCAGCATGCACCAGCATGCACCACCATGCACCATCATGCACCATCATGTATCACCATGTATCACCATGCACCACCATGCACCACCATGTACCAGCATGCACCACCATGCACCATCATGTATCACCATGCACCACCATGCACCACCATGTACTACTATGTATCACCATGCAACACCATGCCACACCATGTACTATCATGTACACACACACCACCATGCACCACCAATCATGTTGTAGTTTAGATGCACTACCTCTGGATAAGGGCGGCTGGCTGAAGTCCCCCAGTGTCAATACCAGGAGCTGCTGATAGTCACGACCCCGACTTACAATAGCTTCCTTGGTCTGCTCCTTTGTTTTCGGGTATAAGGCCACTGCATTCTCTCATACAATGTGTACTGGTGGTTTTGCCCATGTGCATGCATGGGTGCTGAGAGCATGTCTGGTCCCCATGGAGACTACTGACCCTCTGAAACCAGAGTTAACAGGCAATCGTGAGCCACCTAATGTGGGTGCTGTGAACAGAATTGGTTCCTCTGCAAGACAGCAAGTCTTCTTAAATACACAGCCATTTCTCCAGCTGTCTCCTGTCCATGGCCTCTTAATCATCACGAACATGTTCACTGGTGTTTTTCAGGAGGTTTTTCTAGGTGGGCATTACAGGTCATGAAAGTGTTCACACCCAGGTTATTGTGATTATTTTGTCTCGAGTAGGAAAGACCATGCCAATCTTACATAGTGCTCCACTGGCCCTCAAATTCAGCACACGCCCACTGAGACCCCATTTCCATCTCTCCTTCTCCTCCAGCCCCTTGTTATGGGGGTTCTGAAGTTCTTCCTATCAGGAGGTGGCTTCCATTTCTTGACCCCTGAGTATATATCTCCCAGTTATATGTACATTGGGTCCAATAAGGCAACAAAATGATGGTGTAGAGGCCTAAGCCTGGGCCTACAGAGTTCTGACAAATAATCCACGCATGCTCATTCTCCTTGGATTTGCCATGACAACACCAAGCCCGCCCATTAGACGATGGAAGACCATGTGTGGTAGAGCCAACGTGCCCCAGCTGAAGTTAGCTTCAAACCAGCCTCTCCCTCATCACCTGCCTGCTGCAGGCACAAAGGCCAATCAAATTAAAACTTCCAGGTAAGCAGAATCAACCATCAATGTCAGAACCGATGAGTCTGGCTTGCAGGCACTGAATTTGGAGGCTTCTGGATAATTATGAATAACTGATTGATACTCCTGAAGAACAGTAAGCATTTTGTAAATATAGTTAACTTTTTCTGTTGTTTAGTCAGCACACTAAATAAATCTTAGTTTCACCATGGGGTGACTTCCCTTCTTTCTAATAAATCTTAGTTTCACCTCTCACTGTGCCCCCACCCCAGATTACTCTCCTCTTGGGTTCTGAGCACAGGCTCTTGTTGGTTTCATAAACACCACCTAGGCTTGTTTTCTGCTCCCCTTTCCCATATAGAGCTAAAGAAGAAACAAGCCCAAAGGAATCCTTAATAGAATACACCAGATTCTTGGAACTGTAGTAAATCCATATGCCAAACCAAAGTGCTAGGCTACAACTGGTCCCAACCTGATCCCTTTGTCTCTCTTTTAAGCAGGTACAAGCATCAATTTCTTCCTCACAGACATCCCGGGAAATCTTCAAAATGTTTAGTATGAAGGAAAGTATGATATGGAGAAGCACGGGATTCGATGGACGGAAAGTGGATAATTCTGGATTTGGTCTTGACTAAGTTGTTCCAGATCTTTGCCCTTTGACCTTTGTCCAACCAGCAATCCTCTAAAAATGTATTTCTTCTGTAAAGTAAGAACAGTGTGTGCTCCACATATTCATCACTTTGAGGATGAAGTTCAATGGCATGTGTGAAAATGCTTTGTACACTCTGGCGGGGCGGTGTGACACAATGTCTAGGACGGCTCCTGCTTCCCAATGAAAAACTGTTCTGGCTCAAATCGCAAAAGCAGGCTGGCAGACACAGAGAACTGGAGGAAGCTGACAAGCTGGCACTCTGTCTCAGGTTTAGAACACAGGCTCCTGGGTAATGCAGACCTGGGGAGGAGTCCTGGTGTCAGTTAAGGCAGTGAGACTCAGCTTAGCAGTGCCCCCAGCATCCCACGGAGTTCTTCCCAGCATCCCTTAGGACCTCTGCTCAGGCAGAGCCAGATCTTGCTATGTTGAAAATAACTTCAGGAAATATCAGAGCGGCACCAAATTGGCGAGTTTATTAAAGTAGACATAAGGGATATTGCACATTCTGGATTTAAGTAGTGCCATTGAGGACACACACACACACACACACACACACACACAAGACTGCACACAAACACATGGATGTGGAGAGCAAGAATAATACAGAGAGAACATGAAACTGTCATATTCCACCGTGTGTGTGTGTGTGTGTGTGTGTGTGTGTGAATGTGTGTGAGAGATCTTCTCATCCAAGTTGAGCTTGCACACACCCGTAATGAATCAGGTACCTTATACTAGGTCCAATTATCTTAAAGCTCATCAGTGTTAGTAGAGCCATTCGGAGGGACCGTGTCATTAAAATATGGACCGTTTGTGAGCATCCAACATCCAAACAAGTTTGCTGATTTGACACATGCTTGGTTGAGATGTCTTTAGGTGGATAAGTGCTGTCTGTGCAGGCAGTGTGGATTTGATCGGTTGTGTGGAGTTTCTTGACTCAGCAGCTAGCAGGAAACTCAAACTAGATCCCAGGAGGAGGGAGTTTTTGCTTCCTCTCAACCCTTCAGTTTTTCTTTTCTATCCTGCCTTGCTGGAAGACTCAACACAGTCATGCAGAGCAGATGCAAGTTTATCAGGAAAGTGTATTGACTTGTTCAAGTTCTTCTGTATCCAAGGGCACAAGCCGACAGTACAGCCAGGGGAGTGGGCATGGACCAGGGTGTATTACTTGCAGCAAAAAGGACTATTTTCCATGCAGTGTCTCTCCAACTAAGAAAGCAAGGGTCTATTACTGAGGGGAAACCACACATATTCTCACAGGAAGCAGTGATTTATATATGCAAGAGCAGAGGTACAAGCCAGCATGCACAGGTAAAGGTCATGCATGTGTGCTCAAATGTCGATAGATTCTGGAAGGCCTCTGGGTAAAAAATTCAGTCTTAGTAACAGCAAAGTTGACTCTAAGCCATGTAAAGAGTGAGTCAGAGTGACTCAGGGACTTGGGCTTGTTTCTTGTTTCTCTGGAGGGTAATAACTGAAGCCAAAACAAACCCAAAGGAGCTTTATAAGGAAGTCAACAGTCTACAGTTAACAGACCCTCCCTTCCTGTCCTATCGCTGCAGATATAGGTCATTGTATGCTTCGCCTGGCACCTCCAAGAGGTGCTTCATGGGTACATAACATGTTCTCCTGGGAAGAGTACCAAATCTTGGGGTTCTGTACAGGAATCCTCTAAAATTTACTCCCAATCTGAGCAAAGAAAACAAAGAGAAATGAACCAAGGAGGAGGCAGATCAGAGGTCATTGGTTATCCCTTACAGAGATGTCCTGAAAATCATCATAGGATGGGAAAAGTCTTGAAGTTCTAATCCAGAGCCTCAAATCATGACTCTATCTGAAGATGGGGGGCAGGCTGTTGAGGTCTCAGGTGCTCTTGAGTCCGGTTCCATCAGGATCTGTATAGAAGAGA